TACAAATACAATACTATTATATATATATATATATATATATAACAGTATATATTATACAAGTCATTGAAGCACAATACTTGGAACTAAAGCCAGAGAGCAATGAAAAAAATGGTAAAAATGTAGTTGAAGCCCCTTACCAAAACTAAACCCTAAAATCTAATTTGGGAATGATCTGGGTTGATGGGAATATTGTTGCAGGACCAACAAAGGATGTTGATCCAGGCAGATGTCCTATTTGGGTAAATCATGTACCATATTTTAAATACAAAAGCTCACAACAGCTCCATCCATCCACCTTATGCCTCTAAAGCTTCAGACTGTCTGTCACACTCTGTCAGATAGGAAAATCATGTTAACTCAGGGTTGAGTTCATACAGTATTCCTGATCTGGCATTCCTGGCTCTGTCAAGCTGAAAAATCCCACAGTGTAAAATAACCAAATCACAGAGACACAGGACTCTGTGTGCTAACCATATAAAATTCAATACTTCATATAAAGACTGTGAGAGTTTGACTGTGTATGTATTGAGTGTAAGTAGCATTTGACCTAGTTTCACATGCGGTCAGACTTCCTCATAGTACTTTCAACACTTCCCTCTGTGGAAAAGCCTGACACTAGTTCAGTCATCACAGAATTCATGAGTTGTTACAGTAAATACTGTACTACTGGTTGCCAAGTTGTTTATTAAGAAGCAACTGCATGCTAATATTGCTCCTAAAAGCGTGAATCGTGATCGAAATATGCAAAATAATAAACCCAGCTCCAGGGGGATTGTCTGTTTAATAAGTGTACTATACTGTAAGCCGCTGTATGATCAAAGCATCTGCTAATGGCTTCTTACTACTTAATCAAAACACTGGGATATGCATTATTAATTAAAGTGCCTAGTGTCTACGAAAATGTTGAATATGATGGCTTTAACAACTATAAACAGCTCTTTTATAAAGAGGACACTAATGTATGTAAAATCAGAATAAATGCATCCTACAAGCACTTAACTCCCGCAAGAAACACAGGTAAATGACTAAACCCACCTTATCCTCCATTCCCACATGTTTCAAGGCCTGGCGCCCCCTATGTGACAGGGCCAAGTTGATGCTTCGACCTTTCACGACTTTTGCTTGACGAATATCTAACAGAATAAAAGTTTAAACGCAGAGGTTAGGAATGCATTTGAAACCCTATATCTGTACATTATGAGAATGTGGTGGTCTATAATTGTCTAAAATCCTTCCACAATATTATAAGTGAGCTTAAAGATTTTGTAGTGTGCGGTATGAATAATAAAAAGTGGAGCAATTATAACTGAGATGCAGAACTTAAATAGTACAAGCCTTAAAATAAAGTCTTGGTTAATGCATGTGTGAGAGATAGCTCATGTTTTCACCTTCTCGAGATTCATAGACTGCAACGTCAAATCCTCTTTTGGCAAGGAAGCAGGCGTTCAGCGATCCAACCTAAATTGACAGGGTTAGAATAAGAAATAGATTATTTATGACAAAATGATTCCATGTTTTTGGATATGTACCATGTTAGTGTACATTAAAATATATTGGAATTCAATGTAAATACTATCACGGTAGGCTATATGAAAATGGCAATCATTTACCATAATATGTTACGCTTGACGAATATCTAACAGAATAAAAGTTTAAACGCAGAGGTTAGGAATGCATTTGAAACCCTATATCTGTACATTATGAGAATGTGGTGGTCTATAATTGTCTAAAATCCTTCCACAATATTATAAGTGAGCTTAAAGATTTTGTAGTGTGCGGTATGAATAATAAAAAGTGGAGCGATTATAACTGAGATGCAGAACTTAAATAGTACAAGCCTTAAAATAAAGTCTTGGTTAATGCATGTGTGAGAGATAGCTCATGTTTTCACCTTCTCGAGATTCATAGACTGCAACGTCAAATCCTCTTTTGGCAAGGAAGCAGGCGTTCAGCGATCCAACCTAAATTGACAGGGTTAGAACAAGAAATAGATTATTTATGACAAAATGATTCCATGTTTTTGGATATGCACCATGTTAGTGTACATTGAAATATATTGGAATTCAATGTAAATACTATCACGGTAGGCTATATGAAAATGGCAATCATTTACCGTAATATGTTACTAACTACTATGATTCAGTCACAGTACATTTTTGTATAAGAGTGTTAAAACATAGTGTTTTAGAGTATCTGAATAGCTTGCAATGACCTAATTCTTCCTTATTAACCTGTACTTAACAAAGCATATTAAGGAAAGAGGAATTAAAGAGATAACGTAGAACTGAAGACTTTTGGATGATTTTACTTTAATCATTTTATTTAAAATAGCTATATAAAAGGGTACTGCTGAACTTTCTCAGGCCAGGGCTTTACATAGACACTGGCTGACCAACACAGGTCTACACAAACAATATATTATTTACAGACAATATTCTTATGCTTTGTGCCAAGTGCAGTATTATTGGTCATATTTTATCATCAATCTTTTTATGTCACTCCCTTAAGCATGAGATCAGAAGATCAAACCATTAAGGAAACATTTACCTTAAAGTCGGTTTATGCAACTATAAACTCATAAAGACACTTAATGAAAACATAAACACACCCATGACTCACTGGATTCATTCATATTATATTCTGGCTTTTATCAAAGCCATTAACTGTGTAACATTAACTGTATACATTTAATTTAATGTAAATTTCAAATTCTTGTCAGATTACACTCGCATAAATAACTATAAAGTGCATAGATTAAAATTCAATAAAGTCCGATTTATATTTCATTCATCATTCGTCACCACATCTGTAATAGAACATTTACAGAATTTCATAACCAACTTCGTGAATCATTAACGTTCTCCTGGTGCAAGTTATAGTAGAATTATATAATCTCTGTATTACTGTGATTAACAAAGGTTGCATTTTAAAATAATGTTCTATTTGTTTTTTTATAGGAAACATTCACTATAACCAGAGAAACATAACAGACCTGAGGCAGACAGACATACAACTAATACAACATGTCTTTCATTTAGCGGTCATTTTCTGTGATTATTCAACTATTTTAATGACTTGATAGATAGAGACGTTGATAGAGACGGTAGATAGTGATTGAGAGAATTCTAAGATATGTAATCAAGTCATAAAGATCGAGTGATTCTCACCAAACCGCCTCCCACCACCGCGATCACTTTCCTCTTACTGCTGCTGGATTCATGTGTGTATGTGGAAACAGTGTCCATACTTAACAATCCTAAAGTGTTAAGAGTTAAAGGGGTCTGCTGGAATCAGTGCGTGAATGAGTTTCTAAGAGTTTAAAGTAGTGTTTTGTGGTTATGAAGGAGGAGCAACACAAAGTCAAACATCGACAAGCCGGATCAACAGGTCGCCGTTTATTATCAGACCTTCTATCAGTAAGTCAGTCATTCAGTGTGATCAGATATGTAGCCTGATGAATGTGATAATCAAACCCAACCGAACTTCACACACTGACTCAAACACACACACACACACACACACTCACGCAGTTTACATTAGTAGAGTAATGCTTTCATTATATTTCATTATAGTTGGTAACACCCCAAACAACAATCGTAACTTTGGAAAACACCAAGTTTACTCAGCACATATCAAGGATGTGTGATCAGCGTTGCCAACTAATTTTCAGGGGAAGTTGCTAAAGGAAGGTCAAATTGTTGCTAAAAGTTGCTAAATGCCATTGTGATGTCATTGCACGATGACATTATTACATAATTATGACGCAAAATTACATAAAATCTCAGGAAACAAATATTTTATGTGTTCATTTAGATTTGTTCATAAAATCAACAATCGCAGGTACAAGCTACTAACAAGGTGTATCATAAATGAACAATTATTCAAATATTCAATTATTATTATTAAATTAAACAATTGCAAATAGCAATAACTTAATTCATGTGAATTGTGTACTGCTAGGCATCTTTGGTTTCCTTATTTTGTGTGATTTAGATGGAAAATGTGTGCCTTTTTATCGTTTGAGTCACTTATCAAAAGTTGCTAAAAGTTGCCAAATAAATTTTAAAACAGCTAAATTTGTTGCTAGGTGCTTTTGGAAGAAAAAGTTGCTAAGGTAATGTGAAAAGTTGCTAAATTTAGCAACAAAATTGCTACGTTGGCAACACTGTACAGTGTGTATGATTCATATTCTTAACAATTGTAATATCACCACCTAGTGGAAGTGATCAAAATGACATATTGGTGCGACGGTCAGGACAACACTGACGCATCCGCAACGTGACTACGTCAACGTTAAGATGTGTCAGTCTTTTTAATCTGTCACGGCTATTTTAGATTCATTCTGTGACCATCCTGATTTGGCTGTGTAAATACTCAGAATCCGTAATAATGAATTCGGGATTTTACTGCACAAAAAACTGCCGTGACCCGGATTCGAACCGGGGTTGCTGCGGCCGCAACGCAGAGTACTAACCACTATACGATCACGGCGAGCCACCTACAGGACGAGCGCGATGCGGAAAATTCACAGGGATGATCATCAAGGCTTTAATGGGTTATTCTGATGAACAGCTGCTGTAACAACTGATTTTCATGTTGTAAACAAGAAATCACAAATTCAGCCCTGATTCTTTATTCGGGCTCTGCAAATCTCCCAAACAGCCGACATGACCTCTGCGACGTTTCTGTGATTATTTGTCAGGATGAAATTGTTGTAGAGAGTATTAAAGACTGTTCATTTTTAATCCAGAATCTGTTTAAGAGCAAATCAAGCTCCCAGCTCCTTACTGCATCTTTAGATCTTGCAGAACATTTTGTATTATTGTTTGTCATATAGCCTACTTGAAAACAAAACATGAAAAATAACAAGCCGATGAAATTAATATTCAGTTACATTTGTCTGTCAGGGTTAGTAATTCAATAACCACCCTTTTGTACACTTATTTTTATTCTTATATGATTGTTTTTATATTATTTTGCTTTTTATATATATTTAAAGATTTTTTTTTTTATTTTATAATATTTTTATATTA